TTCAGTGGCACCACTATTGTCCTGTTAATCTCTTAATGCCCACAAAATAGGCTAATTACTATGGTAGCTAATTACCATAGTAATTAGCCTATTGATTCTCGCCTGTTAAAAAAAATCACGTCTTACGAGGCTGTCCATTATCCGTATTCCGTATCTGGCGACTATAGGGAGCCGGTGGTAACTATGTAGGCTGCTGAAGCTCCACACAAGAACTTAGTACATAGGTGCGGTGCCGATTCATACATTCCGCAAAATACCAGCATAAGCCTGCTTGTCGTAGAAGTCGCTAAGTATTGCCACAGATTCGAAGTATGAGCTTTCTTTTCCTGTAGCCTGGGGTCCAGCCCTGTTAGCTACGGCGGGGTAGTGGGTATTAGGAAGGGTACTAACATTCCCTAACAAGGCTGATATCCAGGCTAGTATTCCTTTGGTTCATTAACATTTTTATTTTTGGCCGGATTTTTTTTTCAATTTTGGCACTAGTTTGGTTGTGTAAATAAAGTCAGTGTGGCCTAATCATCATTAGTAGAACGATGACATCAATAATAGGAAGGAGGTAAAGAAGTCAGCACAGGTTACGTGTATGGACCAATGTGTTGAATATTTGGGTTGCCGACACATTAAACGGAATTGGTGTTACTTGCCTTCATATATCATGGGTACAGTATCGGATTTGCAAAATACAATATAACGTATAATCTTTAGATTAACAGTCCACAATCCTTACAGCATGGCAAAACGCCAGCGCAGAGGTTACAGGGTCGATAAGCACATTGGCTGTGAACTTTTGTCCTTCCGGAGTTTCAAATGGCTTTTCCGATAACTTGCCTGGCTCGTGACAAATTCCAGACTCAACTTGTTATTTTTTATAGAACTTTATTGCACAGCAATTGCACATGGTACAATGTATGGCACTAGAGTAACAACAATAAAATAAGTGTGTTGAATAAGACCTACTGTCGAATAAAACCTAACATATCTATATCCTAATTATTCAAATAATAAGGGATAGCACAAGTCTTTGATAAAGTGTTACAATCGAGTGGGCTAATCACAAGTTTCCGTATATTTTCTAATAGCAAAGCATTCCTTTATATATCTACCTATTTTTGCGTTGTGGGGACCATTACATGCAAAGATATATTCAAATCTGTCTGTAACATCGAGACTCTTGAAATCTATGGTACTTGATTCGAGAAATGTGAATAGCTTGTTACGTATAACATCACATTTGGTACATTCCATAACAAAGTGAAATTCATTTTTTACATATCAGTCTACTTTCTGTGGTTACTGAGGGTGCAATTTTACCGTCGCTAAGAACGTTATATTTTCGGTAGGGTTTGTGTGTGTATCTGTCTGTGTGTATGTCTACTCTATGTAAACGCCAGGACATGAGAAGGCTTTTATGGAATGTCTTTTATATTTAAGAGTAGCGAATGCAATTTCAGGGTGGGAAAACGAACAATATTCTGGATGAAACATCTCTCTGATATTTACGTTTATGTCCTACCTGGGCCGCGATTACGTTCGATACGGGTGTTCCGGCCCGGGGGTTCTTAACGCGTACGGCCCGGGGCTTCCAAATGTCCCATAGAACGATTCGAACGCGTTTCGCCCTAACCGCTTGCACCGCTTTCGAAAATTCGAACACAAAATTCGGACGTTGGAATTGACGTTGTTGCATTGTTTGGGTTTAGGGACACCAAATGTTCGCCTATTTCGCATTAAAAGGCGTGTTTTCTTGGGTGGGTAGTATGACATAAATAAAATACAACACGGTGTATTCCGCATCACCCTCGGTCCCAGCCCTCCCGCGGATCGGATCACCTTCCGGCCTTCGGCCGTCGGGCGATCCAACGCGCGGTCGGGCTGGAACCTCGGGCGATACGGAATACCCCGTGTTGTATTCTATATTTACTGCCATTCCTTAGCACAGTTGTGTCATTAGGCGCCTCTTTATGATTTGGGTACCACCCATAAATAGGAAGAACAAGCAAATGACACAAAACAAGCTACCCCTTTCTGTCAATGACATCACATGTTTGGCTCACAGATATCAGTATATTGTAGAATAGGGTTGATGTAAGAGAAGTTCTAGAAATTCGACTTCGAAAATCCCCGTTTTACTGCCGTTTTTTGTTGAACCAACCAGCGGCTTGTAATTGTACAGCAGGAAAACTTCCTGTTTTTATAATGATCTTGACATGATCACGACTCACGGTGGTCTGTTGCTACGTTATTCTTTCCCATTGCTAGGGGCGTTCAAACAGCTATCGAGTTACAAGACGCAATTTTGGGCTAACCGTAAAACATTTGAAACTAAACGAAATAGTATGAAAAGGAAGCTGTCCTTGGAATGAATGGTCTCTTTTCTAAGTGTCTGGCAAATATCAAGTTATTTTGTCGATTCAAACTCGAGTTACTGGCGTTCCTTACTACTCTTTCCATGTCCTGTCCACTAAATTTACATAATAATTAATACAACATAACAATGTCATGGTCAGTACTTACAGTGCTCTCCTGCTATTTGTATGGACGATTTGTGAGAGAATTCTACCCCTATAAAGGAATAGTCCATAACCTTAGGAGAGTCCACACAATCGGCAGGGAGGGGAGGTCAGTTGGTTAGGCCATGTTGATTTGATTATATGGATGACATGCTCCGGGAGCCCCAAAACTGATGCGCGCGTGCGAATAAAAAAAAAAGTTTTGCAAAAAAAAAGTTGTTTTCATTATGAAATCTACGTGGTCATGAGGGTTGAACAAATGGGACAGAATATGGTTTGGCGAATAATCTAATCTTCAAGTTCATTTCCTTACAATTTCGTCTTTTTTCGTTTGATTTTGGCATTCTACCACATTGGTATAGTTTTTACTTATTTTTTTGTAACTTACGGTATATTTTTGCTCATTTTGCAACTGTTTTGTACGATTTACAGTATGGTTGAATTTTTTTTTATTTTTGGAAACGGCCGAAAATTCATGCGTGCGCGGATGTCATCCATATAATCAAATCAACATGGCCTTATGGATAATACTGTGCTGGGGCAAATTATAAAACAACCACAAACATGATGTTATTGGTATTTATACACTCACTTTCACCCACAACGACATACATGTACCATATTCTAAATTTCTAGTCACATTTAGAAGCTCACAACAAACAGGCTGGGCTAAATGTCCAAAGTTATCTAACTTTAGTTACATCAAAGAGATTTTATGTGAAATGTTCTGGGTTATATGTACATTCCACCTTCATACTGTCTACCTTTGTGTTGGGCAAAAGCTTGCCAAAGCTAAAACAACAAACAGGTCAATTTGATGTTACCCACTTCCAAATAAATCCGCTCGAAGTCCGACTGCATCTATTTGTCTATTTTAAACTTCCGACGATCCCAAGCGCCGTGGTCTTTCTTTCACATTGGTGTACATAATATTTACAGAAGGTACAATATATTAATTGAAATCTATCAGACAAGGAAGATCCCCCCTTTTTGTATTCCTGTAAGATATATTTCAACCCTATTCTATTTTTAACCCTATTCAGGCCGGGGGGGGGTGATTTTCGTGTTTCTGACAGGCACTTTTTTGACAAATCAGTAATTTAGGTTCAGTTTTCTAGGTTCTCTAGGGCCTTCGACTTGTTACAACTAACCCTTAAACATCTAACTCAAGACATTGTTTAAAGCTATCTAATGACAATGCCCCTACTGTACTTGGTGACAGCGAGTTCAACTCTGCGATGGTTCTAGGAAAGTATGAATTCTTTAACACCTCAATCCTTGATTGATAATCTGTTACTTGAAGGCATGGCAATGTCTGGGCTAGTATTAGGTACTTAGTACTTGGGACGTCCACCAAGTGTACAAGAAACCAACGGCAAAACACAGCATGAAAGTTTGTCTGTGTTGGTATATTTTATTATGACAAAAAGGCTAAACGTTCTGATCAATACTGAGTAAATTGACAGAGGTCGTTAATTACCTGAACCCTTTCACCCTTAGTTCTACATGAAATGACCAGTGGTACATTGTCCGGTGTCAGCTATCTTCATTGAAAACGTATACTTGCAGCATCGTAGACGAATTTTAAGTATAAGTAGGTTCATTCAAGGTGCCTTTATTAAAGCTAAATTTGTACTCGTAAATAATGCGTAGTCTAATTGCTAACATGAAGACACTATATAACATGTATGCAGTCATGTATAGCATGAATAACTGACAACTTTGGTACACAAACGAATATACAGAAACAGCCTTCGCCTGCGAGAACACAACCCTGCCGCTGTCTTGCTCGGACGGAAAGACGCTGTTGATCGTGAACGCGACCTACGGCCGGACCTCTTCCTCCCACTCCTGTCCCTGTTGGGGGGCCTGTCGCAACGACTGCCGCGCCGACACAAGCCTGGCCGTGGTGAAGGCCGCCTGCCAGGGCAATCAACAGTGCACAGTGGCAGCGAGTAACCACGTTTTCGGAGACCCTTGCTACGGCGCCCATAAGTACTTGGAGGTATCATACCGCTGTATCACAGGTAGTTATACGGTGTAATCAAAATGTTCGGCATTTTCACTCAATTTAGGACACTTTCTACCGGACGCCGTAACGTATAAACCCCCCTCCCCCAAACGTACGCTTTTAACTCTGGGTACATAACTTTGACACGGAAATTGCAGAACCATATGTACATATGTATCCCTTCGTTTTGCCATACGTTACGTGTGAACCCCCCAAAACATGGCCCCAAAACGTAACAGACCCCAAAACATAACGTTTTTACGTGCGTAATTTTGACACGAAAATGATACCATACTCCTTTTGTGTGTGACTGAGTGTTGACTGTTGGTATGTAGATATGGTAGGTAATTGGGAAGGCGAAAGTCAAGGTCAATTATGGACCTCCTGGCGGCTATCCTTGGTATTGCGGCAAAAATGGGAATTTGTATCTTTTGTCCTCTATCTCTATTTGTTTCACAGGGAACTTGACAGACTGGACAAAGCACGGATCTAGTTACTACAAGCTCTTACAATCTACTAATGTAACTTATATTCGGGCGAGAGCCCTGTGCGAAGCTGAAGGAGCAAAGCTGGTGATGCCAAAAGACCAGGAAACTCATGACTTTATAGTGAGGTACAGAAATCAGTTTTACCCCAACAAAGATCTTTGGATCGGACTGAACGATATAAAGACTGAAGGCAACTTTGTGTGGGAAGACGGTACTCCACTTGGCAACTTGAACCGTTGGCTACCAGGTCAACCAAATAACGTTGATAACATGCAGCACTGCGGCGTCCTCACAAGAGAAAATAACACGGGCGGGTATCCAAACCAGTGGCGAGACGATGACTGCAGTGAAGCAAGGGGAGTTATCGTTATCTGTGAAAAGGGTATGTCTTGACTAGAACCATTTTTGTAGCTTTGGCGTTTTGAAAATGTATCCTATGCAGCACCGGCGATTTCCGTGTTGATCCTTATCGAAATACGAAAACAGCATTGTATTGTAGTACGGTGCTCAAACAGGAGGCTTGTAACATATAAGCACCCAATACATTTGGATAAAGTAAACTATGATGGTGTTCACAAGCGCAGAAGGCTGGCTAAGACAGTAACTTTGGCTAAGACAAGTTACTTTGAGTACAAGACACTGAGTTTGAAACAACAGATAAGGAATTAATGTACAGTTAGTTGTACACATAGAAGTAAGCCTCACCTTACCCAGAATATAAAGTTCTTGTCTAGCTCTACCTTATAGTGATAAAGATTGGCCGGTAGTTCTAGATTTCTAGCAGAGCTCCAGTCTACATGTTTGCTATTTTCCTAGACTACCAAATTGACACCACAGTTACAACTACTTCTAGTCATATTTCTAGACACACTATCAAAGCTAATTCTGCCGTGACGTTTACATACTCAAGTGAAAAATATATACATGTATCTACAATTAGACACTTTGCTAAACCTTTGATAGGGATAATGAGAAAGTTGACTACAAGATATCATTGCATCAACAGTTATAATGTGTAATACTTTCCTTACAGACATCCTGTTCTGTGAAGAGGAGACGCTTCTAACGGATGCTGGGCAGATACTTTTCCCCCGTACGGAGGGTGGAACTTTCTCCTACTCTAAACAACTCTGCCAATCAACCTCAGGAAGTGGTTAGTGCATTATCTTAACCCTACCTAGACCGGGGGGGGGGGCTAAAAGTGCCCGCGGCAACTTTGATGTCACCTAGCGTCTGAACAGCTAGCCGTAGAACGGCCAAACTTGGTGACTTTTCCTAGAATATTGTTGGCAACAATTTTCAATCATTGGATTAAGATAATTAATTTTTTGTGTTGCCATGGCAACGGGTTTCTGACAGGCATTTTTTGCTAAATTTAGTACTTTTTGTTTCAACAATAGAATTTTATGGGTTTTATGTCAAGTTACTCATGGTTTCTAATATTAATAACACCCCATATAATTTTATGTAAATTTTATCATTAAATATGCATA